GAGAGAGAGAGAGAGAGAGGGAGAGAGAGAGAGAGTCTGAGTTCACATAATTGCCAATAACAGCATTTTTAACCACTTAATTTTTCTAATAATTGAAAATGAACAACTGAATAAAAGAAAAAGTAGGCTTTCACCCTGGCTGTTGGCTACAACTTGGACAGAGGATCTGGCACTGTCATGCTTTGCACGAAAATGCCTCAACATGGATGATGTATTATTATTATAGGCCAGCTGCTGGGAGCAAAAAAAAAAAAGATAATTTGGTCATTCTACAGAAACGTCCACTTTTCTGTCCCTATACTTTACAGAAATATTACAATTGAAATACACATTAGGGTTACAATATTTGTATATTTTAAAATGAAACAATATGTTATTTGAACAATTCCTGAGCTATCAATGTGGCATTATTTTTTTTATTAATTATATAGAATTCCAAGTACCACAAAACTGCTTGTCCCCACAGCCATGTACAGAGGGAAAGTGCTTTATTTTGAGGTCAAAAACAGGATTTTCTACCATTTAAAATACAAAAGTCTATTCATAACAATCAAATGATGTAAATGGCATAAAAAAAACAAAATGCCAAATAGTGATGAAAATAGTGGTCCCCTGGAGTTGTGTCACTGGTGTTACCGCTTAACAAAAGTCTTTTATTTTGGAATAAAAAATCACACTGATGACATCACTCGACTACCTCCTTCCGCAGGAGCATTGACCACCCCCATCATCACCAGCATAGATCACCCAGCATTTCAAGGTACAAACTGAACTGTTAAAAATACAGAAATCAACGGTTAAACTGTGAAACATAGTTATAAAAGTGCATAGCATACAATACCACCACTCACATTCTGGGAGTTCATTATGGGGCAGTTGGGCAAGTAATTTAAGGCACCATGAAATGTAAAATGAGGACAGTTCGAAGTTTACACCTCTTAGTCGGTGAAGAAACGTAACATACGACTGCAGCGTGCAAATCTTGACAACCCAGAAGTTAAAACAAAAAGAATTCTTCAAGGTCAGCAAGCCAACACCCAAGTCAAGAAAGCCCTGAAATATCACTTCGAAGTTTACACCTCTTAGTCATAACCTAGTGTAAGAGCATGACATAAAATAGCAGCGGACAATTGCAGTTTAGACAATGTACTGTACTTTGTTGTACATTTTAGTTGTTTTAGTTCAAATGTTTTAAAATGATGTTTATGTTCTTTTACTAACTGTTTTCACTAGTTGGCAAATGTATGCCAAATGTAACAATTTAGTAATTGTTAATTATAGCTGAAGAATAAGGGAGTTTGGTCTTATGTATGTCACTGGTGTTACTGTGTGTTTTTTTCTGTCACATTCTATCAAATGTGTCACATGTGACATGATGATAATTTTACATCTATTGAATTCTGCTACACTCAAGAGTTAAGATTTAAAGGATTGTATCATTACTTGTTTATAACTGTTTTTCTAATATTTTCATTGTTATAGCAAATACATGTTTGTGCAAATGAACTAACATCATTCAGTCACACTTTTAACAAACCTGATTAAAATAAATAAAACATAATCTCCTTATTTGTTGCATTATCATTATTTTTATGTAACTCTGACTACAGCTGCTGAAAAAAAAGAGAAATAATATTTCATAAAAACCTTTAAAATTGCCAAACAAGTAAGGTAACACCAGTGACAAAAAAAGGGTACATGCGGTCTTTAAATAAATATACAAAAATGTAAAAAATCATTAAGCTGTCATTTATGTGTATTCATAAAGTCAAAAGGTAATCTAATAATGTGGTCTAAGTTTAAATGTTAAAAAAAGAAATACATTTTAAGACATCTTGCCATACCAAAAGTGGACGATTCTGTAGAATGACCCAAAAGGATAGCTGATGCAACAAGCTTAATAACTGAATATTAGTCTACCATTAATGATGCAATTAGGCATAATAAATATATGACACTAACACAAACAGGACGTCCCAATTGGTCATGGGTGCATTAGGCTACTTGGAGGAGTGATATGAAATATGTGAATTACACATTGCATCATACACAATTAATTTGAGCAGTCATAATTGCATAATGACAAGTGTGATTTAAGTCATAAACATTATATATATATATATATATATATATATATGTGTGTATATAAATATTATGATTCACAACTAAATATTATCAACCTTATTGTGAGAAATCAAACGAAAGTGTTCCCACATTTCAGAACGCCCTCTCTTAGCAACTGGTTTCATGACAAAGTCTAACAACTCACAACAATGAACGCTCCTAAACTCTCGCAACACACATTACTAACCCACGAGTGCGCGCCCTGCCCCTGTGTCGCGCGTTCTTAAACATTTGAGTCAAAGTACGAAGCAGTCACGTGGGTGTGTGTGAAACGAAGCGTCGGACGCCATTGGTCACGTGATTTTGATAGAACGAATCAAGCATCGATACAAGGCTTGACTGAAAATCGTTTCGTTTTTGTTGACACACGCCTCGAAGCTTTGGTGTCACGGCTAACATCACTACAAATGAGTGAAAAATCTTGACGATACAGTTCGGGAAACAGATCGTGGAGATGTCTGAGAACGTTAGTGTCTCTCAAGTAAGTGCAACAACTACATGATTTAACGCAACTGGTATAAAGTGATATTTTATTGGCTCGGTGAACTGCCATTTTAAACGTTCTGTCTTTCTATTGGTGGATGGGAAGAGAAACACGTGATCTAGAAACATGTGGATCCAAAAAGTAAGTGTGGAATTTTGAATTTAGGACCATATATGTAAATTGGTGAATATATTTATATTAAAAAAATTATCTACATGATTGTAGCGAATCATACTTAATCAATATTCTGACGACAAGTGGACCGTGATGTGGCGACTGATTAAGCGTATAAATGAACGATATAGTAATCAAGAATATATTTTACTTGCTCCAGTTTAGTTACATGTCGGTCTCATATGCATAAAGGGCTCTTAGTGCACAGGTCAAATAGGGTATATGTCGAACGTTACCTGACCAAACCCGGTGTTATGGATCAACTGGGGATGTGCGCGTGCATGTGAGCTATTCAAAAGCGACTGCAAAGCTGTAATGAAAAGACATTGGTACATTCTTAATGTTCTTATTAAATGGTGATGCAATTATTACGCTGTGTTGTTTCCTCAATACCTGTTTTAATGCTTGCGACTCGACACAATTTCAGTGTCATTTTAACATGATTTCACGTGGTGACATGGTTCACAAACCACGCCCACGTTATCTTGGCACATCCACTTCTATGGAAAATGACAATCACTCAAATAAAGGTGTATTTCAAGTGTAATTCACTTCTATAGCCTCCTGACTACCAGGAAAAACAGTTTTGTGAATTTTGTATTTTGTCATGTGATTACATTGTTTAGAGCATAAGAACAATTTTGAAAAATTATATTTTATTCATATGTTATGCCATGTCCTCTGTAGAGGACATCGGGACTTTAAAATGTCCTTTTTTTTTTTTATAAAAAGAGATGAATAGACATGAAAAGGCAAAAACAGTGGGATTTTTGTTTCAATCACACATCAATTTTAATTTTTTATACCAAACTTTATATAAAGATGATTCTCAACTATGTTATGAAAGTTATTTTTATAAACCATTTTTCTTTATGCAATTTGGGTGTAAAATGGCCATAAGAGCGTTTTCCCATTATATACAATGTATCTATAAACCGTATCTAATTTGCATATTAATGTGTTTTTTTTGGGGCAACATAGAATGAACAAATAAGTGCAATAATGGTAGTAATAATTAGCAAGATTTTCATAATAATATCTAATATTTAGTATAGGAATATTGATATGTAATTTTTACGCGGACGACAGCTGTGTAATTTTGACTGGATGTATATAGTGCATTAAATATATAAATAAATAGCAACAATTTATATATTATATTTAAATTGTTTATTTAACATTGTTGGCAAGGCACCGTCTGAGTAAACAAGAAATAAAAACAAAAAACATTTTGAATCCGAGTAATGCATTATTTATTACAATATTTGAGTCAACAATATGACCACATACATCCACATCAGTAGCGCAATTTGCTTTATTTACACTCATCCCACCCACCAATGCCTGGTTGGGTCAGTCAAAATTACACAGCTGTCCGCGTCAGTGGCGTAGGGACTTAAATGCACAACAGCAACTCTGGACACGGTTGGTCCGAGTTCGAATCCAGCTTTAACCAACTTCGTTCATCTTATCTTTCCCCATCATATAGCTGATCCAAAATGCGTTTATTTTCAATAAAATGAATAAAACATTCGCGGGAAAGGTGGAAATAAAGCACCAAAATAGCTATTTGATAAGTATTTGGGTTGGGGTAGGTGTAGAGAGGACTGATTGTCCCATAAGGCAGAATCCATTTGATAACTTTAATAAATATTTTTATTTTAACTATTGCATACTTTTTTATATAATGTAGCCTATAGAGCAGGGTTCCTCAAATCTTGCCCTGGAGGGCCAATGCGCTGCAGAGTTTTGATAAGTATTTGGGTTGGGGTAGGTGTAGAGAGGACTAATCGTCCCATAAGGCAGCATCTATTTGATAACTTTAATAAATATTTTAATTTTAACTATTGCATACTTTTTTTATAATGTAGCCTATAGAGTATCTGCCATTATTTCCACTAAGTATATATAGCATCTATCTACACTTAATGCAAACATACTGCTATTTTTAAATAGTGTAAATAAAATCTATCGCTATTTGCACTTAGTGTAAATAACAGACTGCTAAATAACGCTATTTTCACTCAGTGTATATAGAAGTGAATTATACTTGAAATATATACGTTTATTTGAGTGATTGTCATTTTCCATAGAAGTGGATGTGCCAAGATAACGTGGGCGTGGTTTGTGAACCATGTCACCACGTAAAATCATGTTAAAATTACACTGAAACTGTGTCGCAAGCATTAAAACAGGTATTGAGAAAACAACACAGCGTAATAATTGCATCACCATTTAATAAGCACATTAAGAATGTACCAATGTCTTTTCATTACAGCTTTGCAGTCGCTTTTGATGAATCTGCTGCAATGGGAGGTAAAATAGCTCACATGCACGCGCACATCCCCAGTTAACCAAAGACTATAAAATACCTTAAAGGGACTTTGAGTTAACACGATCCCCAGTTGATCCATAACACCGGAAAACAGGTCTCATCGCTTCCGCTTGTCAGAGAACGTGTTAACACAGCCATAATAAATAATAGCGATATCTATGGACTTTTAAGATAATCAGTTAAACTAGCTAGCTGTTTTTATTGTTGACGTTTTATTTAATTTTTTATATCTAAATGTTAGTGAAAAAGAATAAAAATACAACTTTTAGATATCAATCCGCATATGTGATGGACATTGGTTATAATAATCTTTGGTATCTACTTTGAAGGCATCTTGAGTAAAAGGGCTTCATATTTAACGAAGCATATGCAAAACGCTTGAACCGGAAGCGACGAGACCCGGAAGTCTGTTGCTCATAACCCCTATAGACAAGCCTTTTAAAAGGTGCTCGAGATTTCACATAATGTAATAAAAATTACATTTTTATTAGTTGTATGACTTAAGTAGCCCCTTCTGTCATAGAGTTTTCTGAGCCTAAACGTCCGATAAACAATAGCACTGTTGTGAAACAGGGTTAAGTGGTCAACATATATCTGACTCGCAACTACATGAATTGCATGGAGCCTTTAGTTTATCAGCACTGCCCAGAAACACAGGGTGTGGGGAATGCAAGGACATTGTATAGAATAAGAAAACCCCTCCATCAGTTGCTCATTCATTCAGTCATTCATTAGGCCTTGAACCCAGCACATCATCTTCTGCAGCCTGAACTGTAAAAGTGTCTGCAAAGAACATGGAAGGGCCATTCAAGTATATTAGAGTGAGAGTTAGATGAAACCTATTTTGACATTTAGAAGAGTTAAGGTGAGCATTAATATGAAATTTAGCGATATTCTCTTTCTTGCAGGAAGGAAATGGCAAAGTCAGCCGGGTTATTCGCATGGGAACAAGGAAGAGCCAGGTAATGTTTCTTGAGTCATTCAGCTATGCTGTTTTGTAATTTCATCAATTCTTTCATCTTCTTTTGAGAGTATTTTCTACACTTAACTTTAACACTGTATTTAATATTTAACATGTATTGTTTAATTAGACTATAACCATTTTTTCCACAAACTACATACAAACTGTATTAATTTTTTTAGATGTAAAATGTATATCTACATTTTAGTGTATAGTACATTACCTAATAATCTGATAAGCATTATATAAAGTAATGTTGGTTTAATAAAATACACATTTTAATGATAGATTTTATAAAGTGCTCCTGTGAAAATGTAGCTTTTTTTCCATTGTGGGTCACTTGGTTGGCCGAGGGTCCCACAGTTTGTACAGGTTGACAACTCTTGACATGGACCATTATTTTGGGTTTTACTCAATGCAAGCTCAAATGAAATGATAAATGGAGTCAGTTAAGTCAAAAATAGAGAAAACTTGCAGTTTAAATTGAATTGAGAGTATACATATTTCGATTTTCTGTTCTAGGGAACCGTTATAATGTGAGGGTAGATAACAAAATGGAAATGGGTGTGAAACTAGTGTGCTTTAATCAGATAGAAACTGCCCCTCAGTGCCGCCCTTTATGATTGCTTGGAGTGACTGCTAACATTTAATCATGAAATTTATGTTATAGAGAATCTTTGAAAGGACTTTGACTTTAAATATTGAGAGAGCCACTCTCAGAGTAAATTTATTCATGCATTTGCATCATATATTGCACTGGGACTTTGACAGTGATGAAATTACATTTTTGTATCTTCAATAATGAGGCTGTGTGTGTCCCTCAGCTGGCTCGCATTCAAACAGACAGTGTGGCCGGCAGACTGAAAGAGCTTTATCCAGACGTTCATCTAGAGATAGGTAAGTGAGGAAATTTTGCATGCTAGAATTTGTATGAATTCCATCTACTTTAATTGTATTGCATTTGTCATGTCTTTCAATTAAATGTGCAGATTTTCATCTGTAAATGTCTGTACACACACACACACACACACACACACACACATACACAAACACTACTTTTCGTTTTCTTGTCCTCATGCACTCACTGCTTGTCTAAGAACAGAGAGTGATTGTGTTCTGCTGAGAATGTGTAATCTATACGAGCGCTTCACTGCTGAATCCTACTGTCTGTGTCAAAAGACATGAATGATGATGTCAGAATCGGAGCCAGTGCACAACTCTTCAGCTCTTAACCTTTTTGTCTGCGTGCATTTCAGTTGCCATGTCGACAATTGGGGACGAAATCCTGGACACTGCATTATCAAAGGTAGAATTCCATCCTTAATTTCATGTGCCATTATGCCAGGTTTTGTGGTGTCGGTATGAAGAAATGCCTTTGAACGTTTGTGTGCCCAACATGTACAAATCCATTATTACCTTTATTTACCATGTTTTAAACTTGTGTTTTCTTAGATTGGTGAAAAGAGCCTCTTTACCAAAGAGCTGGAGAATGCCCTTGAGAGAAATGAGTAAGTTTGCTGACTTAAAACTGAGCTTTGGTTAGGACACTGATGCTAAGTATGTTCACATGTCAGCTTATATGAAGGTTTCACCTCTCTAAAACCCTCATCAGAAAACAAAAATAGACGGTTGTTCAATTGATTATGCTGTAAAGTGCTTTAGATTAACTTCACCTATAATTATCATGCTTTCACATTTTGCTTCAGGAAAACGGATTTGCTCATAATTTCTCTGTTCACTCTCTGTTCTACTGGTACCGAACACTCTAGAATCAGAGAATGTGAAAGCAGTCCTCTTAGACTTGATACTATGTGTGTTGATGTGTTTTGTGAAATTAAGTATATGATGAGCATTGTATGGTGATGGTGACACATAGCACAGTACAATAGAAGGTAGAACAATGTTTTTCCTCTAGTGTGTGGGTCGGTGATTTTGTTTTTTTAATTATTATTTTTTTTTATATGTGTTTATTCATCACTAGAGTGGACATTGTGGTGCACTCTCTTAAGGATTTACCTACCTCATTGCCCCCTGGATTCACTATTGGAGCCATTCTACATAGCACAAATAGAAGGTAGAACAATGTTTTTCCTCTAGTGTGTGGGTCGGTGATTGTTTTTTTAATTATTTTTTTTTTTTATATGTGTTTATTCATCACTAGAGTGGACATTGTGGTGCACTCTCTTAAGGATTTACCTACCTCATTGCCCCCTGGATTCACTATTGGAGCTATTCTTCAGTAAGGACCACAACCTCGACATCTAACAAATATTTGTTTTGTTTTCCGATTAATTATTAATTTAATTTAAATGAATCAATTGGTTTATTAATTTACACTACCAGTCAAAAGTTTTTGAATAATTACTGCATTTAAATGTTTTTGAAAGAAGTCTCTTATGCTCATCAAGGCTGCATTTATTTTTGTGGAAAATGTTTTTGAAAGTCTCTTATGCTCATCAAGGCTGCATTTATTTGTTGGAAAATACAGTGAAACACAAATATTGTAAAATATTATTATATTTTAATATATTTCATTAAAATGTAATTTATCCCTGTGATGGCAAAGCTGAATTTTCAGCAGCCATTACTCCAGTGTTCAGTGTAACATGATCCTTCAGAAATCATTCTTATATGCTGATTTGCTGCTCAAGAAACATTTCTTATTATTATCAGTGTTGAAAACAGTTTTTGCTACATAATATTTTTGAGGAAATCAAGATCCACTACCCTTCAAAGGTTTGGGGTAAATATGTGTTTTCTTTCAAAATTGACAGTAAAGACATTTAAAACGTTACAATTACAATTTATAATGATTTCTGTTTCAAATAAGTGCTGTTCTTCTGAAACTTCTATTCATCATAGAATCTTGGAAAAAAAAATGTATGACAGTTTTCACAAAAATATAAGCAGCAAAAACTGTTTTCAACATTGATAATCATAAGAACCATTATTAATAATGGAGCACCAAATCAGCATATTAGAATGATTTCTGAAGGATCATGTGACACTGAAGACTAACGTAATGGCTGCTAAAAATTCAGCTTTACCATCACAGGAATACATTACATTTGAAAATCTATTGAAAACAGAAAACGGTTATTTCAAAATGTAATACTTCACAGAATGTTTAATAAAATAAGTCTAAATAAGTGATCTTAAGTAATTTTTTTCAAAAAGATTTTAAAAAGTCTAAATGAATACAAACTTTTGACCAGTAGTGTAAATATCTATTTAATGATTAGTTTATCTTATTTAATTTTAAAGTTAATTTAGTAGCTGTATATTTATGACTTGTACTGACTAAGGGCACTGTAGTAGGTAGTTTGAAAGCCTGTTTGAGTGGTGAGTGATTTGTTGTGTGTTGTTTTTGTGAAGGAGGGAAAATCCCCATGATGCAGTGGTGCTTCATCCAAAGAATGCTGGACTTATCCTCGACAGCTTGCCAGAGAAGAGGTGAGCTCTGTGTTTTTAACAATCTTCTCATGCCAAATAAAAGTACAGGCATCTATCCTCCAGAATTTGATTGATGACCCAATAATCAAGGGAGACCAGTGTTTTTCATGGTGATAGAATTTAATTGAAAATCTACACTTTGCCATAGATGTCGTGTTTTGACAGCTATATGCAGTTATGTAACCAAAGCTGTCAGAAACATTTTGAAACCTCTCTTCTTTTTTTTTCCCCCCCAGTGTGATTGGCACAAGTTCACTTCGCAGAGCAGCTCAGCTAAAGAAACGATTCCCTCAACTGGAGTTTGAAAATATTGTATCCTGCATTTTCCTATTGCGTCTGTGGATGTTTATACATTATTAATGGCAGCAGCTTTATCATCGATTTTGATGGACTGCCAAAGCAAGCACATATTTTCTGGGTATTTGTTACACCAGCAAGTTTCCCTATATTGTATATAGCGTTTTACCGGTACTAGAGTCTTCCTCCTTGACCTTACTGCTATAGAGAGGGAACCTAAACACCCGTCTGAAGAAGCTGGATGAAAAGGACGACTATGCTGCCATTATTCTGGCCGCAGCAGGCCTCAAACGTATGGGCTGGGAAAGCCGAATCAGTCAGGTATGTTAAAGTCACAATGTAACAGAAGAAGTGACAGATCTTTTCTTTTGTGCTATGACGTACATCTGAGGATTATCAAAAAATGTAGGGAATGGACTTGGTTCTATCCATCAGTTGTTGATTCGATGGAGGCAGATCTGAATGCAAGAATACCAGCCGCTATTCTGAATATGAAGGTCTCTGGTGACTACAGCAGTGTTTATAGATGCATTTATCGTGCATTTATAGTAGCTGTTCTGTAAATTGCAGATTCTGGACCCTGAAGATTGCATGTATGCAGTTGGCCAGGTAAGTGTGCAAGCATGCACAACCAATTCATGAGCTATGAAATTGCATGAGGTTTAAAATAGTAGTAAATATTTTCCAGTGTTTATACCCGTCATGCTTTGTACTTATTATTGTGTTGTTCATGCGAGAAAAGAAGCACCTGCAGCTGCAGGCTCAACTGTTAATGCACATTATAAACACTAAAGGAAACACCTGTGTAACAATTTGTTAACGGTTGCAACCATAAAAGTGCACTTATTTTGGTATATGTTGCATGCAGGGTTTCTGCAGGTTTTATGAAGGTCAATTTAAGACTTTTTGAGACCTTTTTAAGACCAAGTAAAGAAAATATAAGGAATAAATTGAATGGAGCACTGTAGGTCAATATGGTCTCTAAACGTAAATGTCTTGTATAAGCAATGATTCAATGTTTGAAAATACAGCTTCCATCTCTATTACGTTTTAATAATAATAAAAATAAAAAAAAAGCTTAAGACTTGATTAATTGTGTGGAAGGGTGAATTAATATGAACATGAACATAGAACATAATGTATTTGTGATCAGACTGCTGTGAAGCCACTGTATGCTCTGTATTAGCCTGCAGTAAATGTTAAATAAACAAAAATGTGTCTTATCATCAGGGAGCACTGGCAGTGGAAGTCAGAGCACAAGATAAAGACATTCTGGAAATGGTGTCTGTCCTGCACCATCCAGACACAGTGCTGCGGTGCATCTCAGAAAGAGCTTTTCTCAAAGAGCTGGTGGGTTTCCTTACATGCACATGAACTCAGCTCTCACTGCCTGTGGTTCATATCAGTTTGACCTTATCCTGAGGGCATTCTATGTAGTCCAACACCGTTTTATGGTTTTAATGCTGCTCTTCATTCCCTTTTTCTGCTTTCAGGAAGGAGGCTGCAGCGTGCCTGTTGCCGTTCATACAGAAGTGAAAGGGTCCATGGTAAAGAGACAAAATATAACTATATTTTCAGGCATTCAGTGGCATGTTACGATGCTACTTCACCCAATACAAATCTGAATAAGTGTTGTTGATGTTTGTATAGCATAGACTAAATGATCTTTTTTTCTGGTTTCAGCTGTATTTCACTGGAGCAGTTTATAGTTTGGATGGAGCTGATTGCTTGAAGGACACTATGCAGACGGTTGTGGAAATAGACAACAAAGTAAGGATCAAATATAACCTCTATATATACTACTGTTTAAAGGTTTGGGGTCAGTAAGATTTTTTTTTTATTAGAAAGGATGCATTATATTGATCAGTGACAGTAAAGACATTGTTACAAAAAGTTTCAAATAAATGCATTTTGAACTTTCTATTAATCAAAGAATCATGAAAAAGCACCAAATCGGCATATTAGAATGATTTCTGAAAGATTGTGTGACACTGAAGACTGGAGTAATGACTGCTGAAAATTCAGCTCCTAAAATATATAAAAATAGAAAAGTTATTTTAAATTGTAATATTTCACATGATTACTGTTTTACTGTATTTTTGATCAAATAAATGCAGCCTTGTTGAGCATGAGTTTTCTTTTAAAAAAAAAAAAAATCTTAACCACAGACTTTTGAATGTCATTGTAGTTACAATTTTACAGCATTATCTATAATTTACAATATTATAACCTTTATTCCAACTCATTTCTATCAGGTGAATGAGAGTGCACAGGAGTGTGTACATGTTGGAGTCACTGCCAACAATGTATCATCATCAGCCCTCGAAGCTGCTGAGAAACTGGGGATGGATCTGGCAAATGCTCTCCTTAATAAGGGGGCCAAAGACATTCTCACAACAGCCAGGCAACTAAATGATGCTCAATAGTGGATTTTTTTACATTTTGTGCATTGGAATATTAGGCTAGAACTTTTGACATGCTTGTTAACTTGGATGAACCGTACACTCAACCATATGCTCTATAGCCGAATCTCCAGAGCTTAAATACAAGCTTTATTGGCTGTATATATCAGTGTATTTAAAAACAACCAACAGGTTACTTAAGATACTATACCTCAGTGCCTCAGTTTAACAATGTGATGGCACCAATTTTTCTCTTGGCTTCTGGTTCGTACACAAGACACTGACATTTGTACTGTTTTGACTGCCATCGAGATGATGGAGAGTCTCGATGGCAGTCGAGGAGTGCCATCGAGACAACTAGGAGACCTCTCAGGCACAGGATTCTGGAAGAGAATTCATGCTGATAGTCTTCCACTTCAAATGATGTCAGACTACCTTCTTTATCTATGAACCACTTGAAAATGAGGTGACCAAAATGGCAACCTTTTACATCTGGCCATGATTTTAATCATGAATTGAGTATATTTTATCTTTATGTACCTCTCACAAAATGGCTTTTTTACAATTTTTATTTAACCGCATATCCTCAGTCTTAAAAATATGATGCCTTTTTATCAATGCAGAATATTAATTAACCAGAATGAGTTACTGACAAAATGGATAATCTAAAAAAATGTAGGTTATAAAATTTTATATTTAGAATATACACTATATAGTTTTAATACCACAATGTGCCTTTGAAATGCGATTAAATTACCCAAATTATTTGACCTGCAATGTTCGTTTCTACAATTATATCAATAAAAGTATTAAAACCCACCGTTGTTCACCTTTTTACCCCCTTGATCACGCAGAATAAAGTTATCGGTTTATATCGGAACAAAACAGAAAACTTTACAAAATTCAAGTTTAATAAGTAAAAAGGCTCAATACAGACTAACGTTAGACAATTCAGACACATGGAATTTGCTCTCTTCAGAATAATTGAATGGCCCTTAAAAGGGCCTTTGGGTGCATTAACTCAGTTCGGCATCGCTCTTAATACTCCTGTGACTGAGAAGATCCCTTCTTTCCCGATTTGCCGGAGCTCTGAACAGCCTGGCCAGTTTTCTTGGGCAGGAGCACGGCCTGGATGTTGGGCAGAACACCACCCTGGGCGATGGTCACTCCGCCGAGCAGTTTGTTCAGCTCCTCGTCGTTACGGACGGCCAGCTGAAGATGGCGAGGGATGATGCGAGTCTTCTTGTTGTCTCTCGCAGCGTTTCCCGCCAACTCGAGGATCTCAGCGGTGAGGTACTCGAGAACGGCAGCCAGGTACACGGGAGCACCAGCACCTACTCTCTCAGCATAGTTGCCTTTACGCAGGAGACGATGCACACGGCCGACGGGGAACTGAAGACCAGCACGGGAGCTGCGAGTCTTAGCTTTAGCGCGGGCTTTTCCTCCAGTTTTACCTCTTCCAGACATGTTGCTCGAGAAACTTCTATCCTTAGCTTGTAGAAGAAATTAGAGGGGCTCAATGGAGTTGCTGCAGTATTTAAGAAGGACTGACTGAACTAGGGCTGTATGGTCCAGCCCGTCGTTATGATTGGATACGCGCAGTAAAACACGGACCTGATTGGCTGTTAGAGCCAACCATAGAGCGGATGTGTTCTCCTATTGGCTTGAACTTGTAGTGCATAAACAGCGCAAGCTAACGAACCAATCCGAGCGCATCTAAATGTGAGCGAGCTGATTGGGTTGTATGGTTCGTATGCGAGGCCAGTGGTCTTTTGCTATGTCAGTCAAATTTGGGCGGTAAATTCAAACCAATTGAACATATTCCCCTCTGAATTTTAACACGGTTTGTTGCAAAATCATGAACAAATGATTGATTTGTGTTTAACCCTCCCCCCATTTTTTTTGTTTTGTTTACGGTGATATGTAACATGTTATATATAACATACATTTTAGATTACTTAATTCACTTTGTTTAAAGAAATACATCTTCTTGGTAGTTTTAATCACAGCAACACTTTTTCAACTTGCCAGATTCTTTTCTCCGTTTCAAGTCATATAACGTTAGTTAGAACCATAGACTGTATAAAAACAGGTTAGAACATTTAGAAGGGAAAAAGAAAATGAAGAGGAATGGATTTTCAAAAATAATTTATTTAGGATAAATTAAACATCAAATTAACCACAATAATACAAAGCTCCGAATACCTCAGAAGGTCCACTGCCTTCGTTTTAGGTTCGCTATTATCTTAACATTCTGGTCATATACCATTTTCAGGCTTTATGCTCCAGGACTACACTAAACTATAGCAAACAAGCGCTTTGTCATTGATTCATGAACTGCGAGTTATCGTTTTATTGGTAAAATGTTTTCCTGTATTAATTATTTTCGGTTTACTTGACAACCAATTGTCTTTTTTCCAGAGTTCTGATTATTTCAAACATTTGATAGATATAACCATTAACCAAATGCTGAAACATCACTGATCATATAGGATGGGGGAGGGGGATACGGCAAGAGAGATTTCTTAAAGAGATAGTTCACACAAAATGAGATTAGTGTTCATTCACAAACCTCTATGACTTTATGACAACAAGAGAAAAAAGACAAAAAGAGATTTTATGCAGATACACAGCCTCAGTCACCACTGCATCTATGATCCACACAAACTAAACCGAGGTGAATAATGGTAGAACTTTGTGTGTGAACTATACCGTTAACGCGAATTACTAGTTTATCAGAAAATAATACAATGTTCTGCTCAATATTATCATAAAAGCCATCTATGAATAAATGATATGATATGATATGAATAAATCTACTAGTGGTAAGTAAAGCACATGCGGATGCCCACTCCTCTGGATAAGTTTACTGCAACTAAATGAATAAAAAAAGAGGAAACGGGGTTGTATGTTACTGTGGTAACGTTCGCACCTGTTTTGTTCAAGAAACCATCTCTGAAAAAAAAGAGAGATAGATAACGTGATTAAACTTATTTTCACCTTTTCATTATATCCCCTGAGGTTTGTTTTCGCGTGAACCCTGAAAATAGCACTATTCTCCACTGCAGATTCAGGCTTATTTACAATAATTTGTGGAATAATTTATAAATATAAACAAATGCGTTTTTTTCAATGCTGAAACATCACTGATCATATAGGATGGGGGAGGGGGATACGGCAAGAGAGATTTCTTAAAGAGATAGTTCACACAAAATGAGATTAGTGTTCATTCACAAACCTCTATGACAAGAGAAAAAAGACAAAAAGAGATTTTATGCAGATACACAGCCTCAGTCACCACTGCATCTATGATCCACACAAACTAAACCGAGGTGAATAATGGTAGAACTTTGTGTGTGAACTATACCGTTAACGCGAATTACTAGTTTATCAGAAAATAATACAATGTTCTGCTCAATATTATCATAAAAGCCATCTATGAATAAATGATATGATATGATATGAATAAATCTACTAGTGGTAGGTAAAGCACATGCGGATGCCCACTCCTCTGGATAAGTTTACTGCAACTAAATGAATAAAAAAAGAGGAAACGGGGTTGTATGTTACTGTGGTAACGTTCGCACCTGTTTTGTTCAAGAAACCATCTCTGAAAAAAAAAGAGAGATAGATAACGTGATTAAACTTATTTTCACCTTTTCATTATATCCCCTGAGGTTTGTTTTCGCGTGAACCCTGAAAATAGCACTATTCTCCACTGCAGATTCAGGCTTATTTACAATAATTTGTGGAATAATTTATAAATATAAACAAATGCGTTTTTTTTTCCTGTAGTGTATCCCTTGAAGGGCTTACACTTTACAACCAAAACACGAACGTAATTTAGTGAGATATGCCTACAGTAAGTTAAGAACGTTTCCGTTTTCTTAAACAAATAAACATCATTATAAAAAAATTATTAAGCCACAATGAAAGTCAAACGTACCACTATTTAAAAACCGGGCATAATATCCCTTGATCTAAATGCTATAGCAACAGCAAAACGAGTACAAAGCTCACAGCATGTCTTAGCATATCACACTCTGGAAATACTCCCCATGAGCTCAGGAGAAATAAATCAGTGCCGATAACAGTAAACGACACACAAACATGATAAAAACGACAGAAAGAGGGATCCCCAGCATTGTAAACAATCAGATTAAGATCCAAAGTGCAACTGATAAAATTAAATAAGAAAAACAACACATAGCGACAGTGATGGGAGTCATCAATAGTAATTGGTCTATGTCGCCCCCTTGTGCTCAATAACCGCATGACAAGACCGTTTTGAGTTTCACAAGTTTGTTCGCTCATAATTATCCACAAAAGCAGCCGTTTATCCATTTTATCAAATTAATTAGGTTCGCAATGCATCCATAAATAGTCAAATCCTTTTATTATTTTGGCGTTTTCTAACCTGAAAAGCTTAATCACAGATGAATGATGATGTTCCAGTCAGAAAAAAACACCAAAACAAGGCTGGCTTCCTGGGTACAATGTGGTCTGAAGTATTATGTTACCCCAACTAGGTTGTAGACAATCGGTATATAACATAAATAACTAGTTCTGGAGAAATTTGGAGCCAATTCCACACTCATTTGACTGGTGCCCGCACCGTGTCTCTCTTACTCGTCCTTCCTCTCTATTTCTCCTTTAGTTATCTGTAGTGCTGGATCCTCCATTGGCTGTGCTGGATTTGCCCTTTGTCTTGGACGAGCGGAACGAAAAGCGTTTGATGAGGCGGCGAGAGAAGCTTCCAGACTTTTTACGGCTGGTGGAGGAGCAGGAGGCTGTGGAGGAGTCATTGCCCAGGTTAGAGACGTCCTCGTGGGACTGACTGAAACTGGGGTCTTTCTCTCTGCGTTTCCTGCGGAATAGTAGCTTGGTGCCACTGCGGAGGAATCCCACTGAAACAGAACATTCATGCACATAAAAAAAAATCATAAATAGAACTTTTATGATAAATACATCAAAAATACATTACAAAGAAATTCACACCTTTGTGGTCTTTGAGGCTACGCGTCTCCAGTGCTCCGGTCGATCCTGTCTCCGACTCCACGTCATCCACGGATGGTCGCTCTGACACGTCAGATGGCGTAGTCTCGTCTGCTTCCTGATGAGCAGATGCTCCGTGGTGGTTCGGGGCTCCGCTGGGAGAATGCGCCCCCTGTAGGGCTGCATCCATTGCTGCAGCGTAGCCCACTGATAAGGCTGAGTCATCTTCAGTAATGGGGACCTGTGGGAAGGACAGAAAATTAGTTTTTCATGTACATGTCATTCTCCCTGATGAGTGTTACATCAAAATTATGTGACGGAAAGAGAAGACTTAACAAATTACCCTGGGGGAAGGGCTAAAGAGACTGTTCTCGTGATCATTTCCCTAGACGCTTGCCTCATTGTAACCAAGATATTTTTATGACATTGATTAGAAATGTCTGTTTACTTGATATTCAGACTCTGACCTTTGACACCCCAGATATGATGAGAGTGCTGCGTTTAGTAGGTGTCTTCTTAGGTACCTTACTGGCCGACTCGGTTAGCTGCCGAATGGCCGTTTCTGCTACGGGATCCAGCCCATTAGGGAGGGTGCCTTCTGCTTGGAAATAGCACACAGACACAAACACACCAGGATCACAGACTTTCCCGTAATTCATTCAAATTACACTGCAAAAAAGTAATATAACAATAAATAATATTTACAAAATGTATTTTAATATAAACAAAAATCAGTTTATAAATAATATATTTATAGTTAATACATATATAATATTAGTATAAATAAATTATTAAAAGCAACAATATAAATAATTTATTGTAAATGTGTGGTACTAATTTTGTGAACATAACTTTTAATTTAATACACATGTACACATTTCAATTATAAACATGATCATGAAGACGTAAATTACCATTTAAAAGTTTGGAGTCTATTTGTTTGGAGTCTAAAGGCCCGTTCACACCAAGGACGATAACTATAAAGATAAAGATAAAGATATAGTTCTAAAAATCGTTCTCAATATTAAAGAATAGCAGAGTCCACACCACAACTATAACGATAAAGACAAAGAAAAACGATATGGTTGGAATCACTTTCAAAACGATTTTTCTCCAGTTGATGAACGATAAAAAAATTGACAGCCAATCAGAATCCATCCTGCTGTAACGAGCTCAAGAATTTAAAGCGGCAGACACGCGTGCGCTTAGAATAAACAGCCGATATCGTTCGCTGGTGTGGACGCTAATATCGTTATCTTTATAGTTATCTTTATAGTTATCGTTCTTGGTGTGAACGGGGCTTAAGTCTGGAGATTAGTAATGTTTTTTTTTTAAGACGTCTCTTATGCTTACCAAGACTGCATTTATTTGATCAAAAAATATTTGATCAGTAAAATTGTGAAATAGTATTACAATTTAAAATAACTGTTTTCTAATTTATTATATTTTAAAATGTAATTTATTCCTGTAATGGCAAAGCTAAATTTTTAGCAGCCATTACTCCAGTCTTCAGTGTCACATGATCCT